TCCCACGAGTGCATAAAAGATTGACATAACTGCTACAATGAATGGTAATACTCAGCGTAAACTTGTTATGTCAGGCATAAAGTACTAAACCCACGAATGCATATTACGCATATTACAATTTACGAAGCATTTTTAAATTCCCATGAGCAAACAAACGTTCACTTTACAAAGATATTTTAATTTTTTAAAACAAATTAATCACCCTGTCAAAATCCTTTGTGTTACGGCATTGAAATTCAAACAATACGTTATTTCAATGATTTTGGTTTTTTTTGAGACACCCTGTATAGGTGATGTGACATGTCGGGTTTAACCAAAACACTAAGCAGATAATTGCATGCTCAGCGATTCGGATCACTTATAATTACTTTTTATCACACACTGTTTTCACTTTCTGATTTTTTTCTAAGTGACTCATACAAATTAGCATCGTCGCCGCTATCATGTTATACAGGGTGTATAAAAAAAACGCAACCTCGGAATTTCCCAAGAAATCGACATTGTTTTAAAGACAAAAGACTTTAGGCGCCTGGGAATTTAAAATAGCACAACTGTCAAAATTACTGCACACGCGAGTACATAAAGCAAAATTTATGCATTTATTTAATGCACAACGACAGTAATATGATCTATTAGCAATGCGATTTCAATTCCCAGGGGCCTAAAATCTTTTATGCTTAAGAATTGCAAAATGATTTCTTAGGAAATTCCGAGGTTGCGTTTTTTTTTATACACCCTGTAGAAATAATTCAGCTGTTTGAAGAGAAACACTCATTAGCTATAATCACAAATAATCATTATCTGTAGTAATTTTGCAAGACTGTGATCTGACTATTGATTGTGACTTGGAAAGTGGGTGTTGCGAATAATTACTTATTCAATTATAATTTCATCAGATTTTTCAAAATCCTATTAATTATACTTCAGAATGTATAATGTCTGTTTTCTCCGAAATACATGTGATGTATTTTGTCGTGTCAGTATAGGTATTCCCAACCCCATTTTTTAACACAAGCAATTTACAATTAATCCAAGTAAACATTTTTTCCTTTATCGAAGGCAAAACGATGATTTTTATAACAAAGAATTGTTAAACTCGCATAAAATGTGGTGAAATGGCTATAAGAATTAAGGGTTATGCAACATTCTAAACTATATATATCATAGTCGCTAAAGTCAAATTTATTACTGTATGTCGAATACAATTTCAAACACTTGTTGTTTATATGTAAACTGAGCGAAGGAAACAAACACAAAGTCTTTCACAGTCATGCTAATTACATGTTAATAATCCGCCTCCATTAAAGTCATTAAATATAAACTTAGCTCTTGCCTAAAAATAACCTGTAATAACCCTATGACAAAGTATATTCATTATAACCTGTAATAACCCTATGACAAAGTATATTCATTATAACCATGATTTATTTCTGTTAATCAGACGACATTCCTTGCTTCTAAAGAAGGATTCGAACCAAAATCTTTTAAATTGACTAGCCTTCTATATAATTTTATACATACAGTGTTGTCATTGGACATATATAGCCTACGGCCACGGCGCGCTTCACCATACTCGACTGTATAGCCTCTACTTAGCCACTAGCGGTCACGACAGCAAAGACAAAATGATTTATTCCATTGCGACATCTAAAATTAAACGGCCGTGAAACCTAAGATAATATTGAATTCGTGAGATTGATGAAAAGTCAACAGGCTATCGATCTATGATTGAATACGGGGGTACCGAAACTGGCAAACAGATGCGAAGGTTATTTGGGATTAATAACATGCATGTATTTTTCATATCTATATCTATAGATTAAACATAGAGTCACTTCAGCAATTTGATTGTGGCTAACTAAATATTCCAGTTGTACCTGTGTGTGTTTTTTTACCGTTATTTTTATTTTAACTTCATTCATTGACTACCCTTACGAAAATCAACACTATTTTAACCCTATTTTATCCCTATTTTACTCTCTATTTTATTCCTATAGAAAAGCTATTTTATTTTTAACCCTATCATATTGCTATCACATATACAATTCCTATATTAAACCTATTAGAACTCTGTTTTAATTGTATTTTATAGCTATTATAAATAGGTTTTTTTGAAACAAAAAATAGCCTATTTTAAATAGATTTTATTTTTCTGAATCGGTGAAGCGCAGATTAAAATAGGTTTAAAATAGGATAAAATATATTTAAAATAGAGTGCAAAATAGAAATAAAATAATAAAGTAAAGTGAAACATTGGTAATAAAATAGATTTTAAATATACATAAAATATGTTAAAAATAGTCGAAAATACATATAAAATAGTGGATCAACTGCAGTATATTAACTAAAAATAGTAATAAAATTACTGCAAAAATAGTAATAAAATAGTTTTAAAATATGAATAAAATACTGATAAAATAGTAATAAAATAGTAGAATTTAAAATAGTGATAAAATAGCGAACAAAAAAATAGTTCAAAATTCTTATAAAATAGTATAAAAATAGTAATAAAATTGTAATAAAATAGTCAGAAAGTAGTAATAAAATTGTTATAAAATAGCAATAAGAGAATAGTAAAATAGTCATAAAATAGCAATAAAATAGTCAGAATGTAGCAATAAAATAGTTATAAAATAACAATAAAATAGCTATATAAAAATAGTAGCACTGCAACATAGTTACTTTATAAAGTAATAAAATGGTAGTATGATAATTAAAACCAGTTAAAAAATAGTAATGAAATAATATCAAATTAGCTGAAAACTAGCAATGCAGCACCATGGTTGACAGGTATGTTAATTAACTGTATCTTTTAAAATTGTATAAAATAATACACATAAAACAGTTTGTATTCTTATTAGCTGTCGTCAATGCTAGGTTGTGGCAGTTTAAGGCCGGCAGGGGTGAATGTGGCATTTTAAGCAGTGTCAAATCAATGGCATTGTTTACCACAGTCAGAGTTACCAACGTTCGAGTAACTGTAAGGAATCTATTACACGATTGGGTTTCAAATCAATTGCAGGATGAGCAGTCTAGTAGACTACAAGCAGTTAGACCCATGTCACCAAGCATCTTGCAGATCAAGCAGTTATTGCCAATACATACCAGCTTAATTGTCAGTATTAAAAGGTGAAAAATGGGCAAGTAGACCACAGTCGATAAGCAAAATTGTCTAGCGTGAGACCTCAGAGTTAAATATTGTGTGCAGAACTTAAAGTAGGGAGTGTTAAGGAAAATTACATATAAATATGTCAACATGAAACATCATGGGCATGAAACATCATGAGTCTAGCTGGACACTTTCCTTGGCAAATAAAATTGTCCAACATTAGGCAAGATACAGAAACATTTAAATATTAACAAACTGCTGAAAATTGGGCACTTCGCAGTGAAATGGGTAATTTTATTAAAAAAAGACAAACATCAGTTCACCCTTGTCGTGACTTGCCGGGGTCCGGGTGTCTCTAAAGATATATAAAATGTAGCCCAAAGGTTGTTACATATATTATTAAGCAGATCATGCAGGTGGTATAGATAAATGTATTCATATATTGTAAACTTTGAACAAGCAAACAAAGGACTTTGACTGTTTCCAGTTAGAGCTAGCACTTCCATAATCAAGTTGCCACACAACAAATTGATCAAATTGACATTTTTAGCTATTAACCGGCCCACCCGGCATTAAAAAATTCAAGCATGGCATACAAAGGAAATTGAAATTAAACCTCTATACCGATTCCATTGATATCCTAGTGCATTGAACTATTACCCTCTGATGTTAGACATGGTAAAATCAAACAGAACTGAAAGAATCCAGCTTTGATGCAACCAACACCTGGTGTTAGACTGAGGGTGAAATTAAAGTAGGGTATATAAGTGCTATAATGGTAAAGTGCATGAGACATTCCTTTTCTGGCCGATAATTTCAGCAAATATACTAGATAGATATACAGTAGTCAGTAAGTCGAATATAATATAATGACATGTCTTGCAAATATAATGACATATCTTGTGAAACACTGACCAGTGAAGGTGAATCATATTTGATTCAAAACATACAGTTTTTATAAATTGTGTGTTAATTACTGTATTTATATTATATATTATATATATATAATGCACTCCTTATTCACAATAACTTTTATTCTAGGACTATTGTAACTGAGACATGCACATTTAGCTGGGATATGCCTAGGTATTTATAAGCATATATAAAGAATTGAGGATTGAAACTTGAGTAGATGCCAAGCTATAATATATTATTTAATTTTGATACAAGAAACACTGCCACTGCAGCACTGCTCACTGGAATCTATCATATACACAACTATTAATTATTTGGCATTAGTTACAATAAACATAATTTAATAGAAAGCATACCTGTAGATTTTATTTTTGTGGAGGTAGCCAATCTTTAAATGGAGCTAGGCTATGCCACATTCTCGTACCCAGAGCCCGCCTTACACACGATCAACAGAGCATGCATATATAACCGACATTTTGTAATGAAAGTTGTATTAAAATTTAAAAAAAAATCATTTTCGTTGTTTCACTGATAATTTATTGATTAAACAGATAATTCATTGATTTAACATCGATTTAAAGAATAACACTATATGCATGTCTTTATGAACTGATAACTTGTTTAGTGTCCGTTATAGAAACAAAAACTGGACTTAGCTGGGGGGGGGGATGGTATTAAGACCGTTTAGACCTTCATTGCTATTGGATGACAATCCCTCCATCTTGTCTTCACTTTTCTCATAGGCAGAATTAAGTTCTTGCTACAGGGCCACAGCTGCTTTTCTTTGTGACACATGTATAGAAAAATTAAATTCTTCGCGTTGGTCTGCCTGTACCAACATGTCGCAACGAACGATGACGGTTTACAGCACATAATTCTTAACCCCCATCAAACGAACTGCACAACTGTACACCTGAATCAACCGTTGCTTTGTCTTTCTTTCTCAGGTGGTTCAACAAGCTCTGGATAAAGCTAGTATTGGAAGAACTACTCTTGTTATCGCTCACAGATTATCTACCATCCAACACGCTGATGCCATTTGTGTGATCCGTAAAGGAAGAGTGGTTGAACGTGGTACACATCAACAGCTTTTAGCAATGAAGGGAATTTACTATGCTCTGCATAAAGCTCAATCTATGAAAAACCACTAAAGATAAGTAACAATGATTTTGACGATAATTTCCTTTCATTTTTGCAAAATCACCCTGATGTTAACTGGATAACAAGTTTATGCTTTTATTGAAAACATTTTTTTCATCGTGATATGAAATATTCCGAAGTGAAACAGTTTTTATTCGTGATATGAAATATCTCGAGCTGGATTATAGTGACTAGAATTATTCTCAATTGAACTTTACCCTAGGTAAATATTTAACTGGACTGTGACGTATAATATATAGGTTTGGTCTCAAAGACCTTTGTGATTATATTTGTATTGTCAGCTGGGATGATTATATAGCCCAGCGTCATTAAATGAATTGTATTAAGTTGATAAGCATTTATTAATATTAAAAAATTCTCAATCGTAAACAGCAGTGCAAAATTCTGTACCAACCGTTGCAAAAACCTGCCTCAAAAATGTAATGATTTGTTTGCAATCACGTGTCTTGTCATCCGAATGGCAAATGAGGGGCAATCAATCAAACAACGTGTGGACGGTTTTTCTCCTATCAGACAGTAGCAGCTGAACGATAATTCAACTTTTGAGTCTTAATTAATTAAACTGTCTCTAAACTCAATCAATGCATTGAAATAGCCGTTTGTTGTTATACCTGCCCGTCAACTGAAATCCCGAAATTACGTCATTGCAAACAAAGAATTGATGATAAACAATGGGTAAATCAACAAATCAGTTCAAACAGGGACGCCGGAACGATAATAGAGCAAAGGGGGGTGGACGCACACCAAGGGCATCTTTACTGAAAAATTTTTTTCACTGCAAAATTTTTTGGCGACCCCATACAAAAATTTTCCGTGAAGCCAAAAATTTTTCCCGATATCTTAAATTTTCGCCATTTCTTCAAAATATTTTTCTAAATTCCAAAAATTTCCCAAAATTTTTATAAATATAAACTATAAATTACCTGAATCTCCTGATTTTCCTACAAAAAGCATCGTTGGAAATGTGATTTGTCACGTATTATTTTAAAACTAAAAGGGCACTTCTGCCCCCCCTGCCTCCCTAGCAAAAGGCAAGGGGGGCAGCCGCCCCCCCCTGCCACCCCAGTTCCGGCGTCCCTGATTCAAATTAGTCCTAGAGTGACGGTCACGGATTCCTTCATACTATTGGTACATCAAGTAAGATTTGAGTTCGTGTCGAAACTATGGCTTCTATACCTTTTGTTAAAATGGAAAAAAGTGAAACTTTCAAAACGTTAACGTTCTAAAACGTGTTATAACAAAGCAGGGAAATTTTGTCCGTGGTCGGTTCGCTGTAAGACGTAAGTCAAAACTGCAAATAGTATTACAGGTAAACTACGTGAAGCGTTCGTCTTTTGACTTCATAACTCATTTGGAATTTTCCTCATTAGCTTTGCAAATTTGAAAAACTTTTTGCAAACCCTTGAGGGAATTTGCAATATTCCTATCGGCTGGTGCAATATTCCAATGCAACGAACTTCATTTTAAATTTTCCTAACTTCCTGTTTTAATTTCCTAACTTCCTGTTCTGTTCTGGGCGTTGTTATTGGTCGATTATTTTTGTTAGCCATTTGCAACGCTTCTAACAGGAACTGAGGAAAATTTAATTGGCTTTTAGCAACATTGCAAATTCCTTCAAAGGATTTGCAAGGGAGTTTTTTAAATTGCAAAAGTAATGAGGAAAATTGCAATCAATTTAGAAACTCAAAAGAGGAACGCTTCACGTAGTTTACCTGTAATAAACAATCATTGGATGTGGTATTGAGTTTTGGGGGTAAAAAGAGTTATCAAAGTTGAGGTGAGCGTTATATCAGTCGAGCCGAATGAAGTATTGAAGGAATTAAAGTATAGCAGCTTACCTCTTTGTTGCCTAGTTGAGTAGAAAAGCATCTATATTGCATAACAAATAAACAAGGCTTTTCATCGTGGCGTTTTAGCAATATGTCAGCCATGCTTGGACTAAAGTAACAAACACAACTTATACTGATCTCAAATCTAGTTCGCAACAATGGAGTTTTTTTAGGAATTTAATTCAACATCGAGCAAAAAAACAAACAAAAAAGTTAAAGTCTGCCGTCTTTGAAAAATATTTTCCTTCGTTCTCAGAAGCGCCCTTTGGTCTCGGGCCGTTTCTGAAACATCGGGAAAATATTTTTCAGTACGAACCTCCCAGTTGAACATATATGTATTAAATCGGTCGGTTTTGAAACCAAATATCTAAAATGAGATGAGATCTTTACCTCTGTCATAGTCTCTGCAAATTAAGTCAGGTGGTTGTTCATGATTAGCTGCATCAGAGAGGTTAAGATACCCCGGTTCCGGTTTACGGGTACGAGTATCGCCATTTTGTTTACCAATTTTTGCTGATGTCAGCATTTTTACCCGTAATCTCTATCCGTTTCCCCCGCGATAAACCATGGTCTACACATTAATAAAAGACAAACGGGTGCGGTTGTTGTCTGTTTACTGTTTGTTTGCCGTTTAAATAGCAAAAAACTTCAACATCTTACCCCAAACAAAATGTTTACATTTCCCTCCACCGATAACCAGAAGTTATAAGAACCTTTTCTACTATGCCACTAACACCACAGCCGCTGATACTCAGGGTTTTGACTTCCGCTACCCCCCGAAACCCGCTGCAGAGGAAACCTTGACACAGGCTGATCACGTGACACCCAGATTTTAGGTGCTAAATTATGCGACTCAGGGAGGGTAGGTCATTATAGCACGGCAAAACCATAAAACGAAAAGTATTCTCTGAAAGACTCTGAACTATGATTTGCTTTATTTGTTTAGATTTGATAATATACACGTAAAATTCCGACTACAATGTTATTACATAAAGCCGGCTTTTTGAAAATATTGGCAAGATCGATATGAGTCTATAGTTTTGGAAAATCCTACGATCACCGGATTTAAATAGGGGAATAACACGAGCGGTTTTCATATTATCAGGAAAATAACCCAAAGAAATAGATAAATTAATTATATGTGCAAGCGGTCTTGAGATTAAGTCAACAGAATCCTTCAAGGCAGATATCGGAATATTATCATAACCAGCAGCAGTCCCGGATCGTAGTGAATAATTATATCCGATACTTCCAGCTGGGTAGTTAAACTAAGTGATATTGAACTGGAATAGGTACCAGATAAATGAGTTCGATGCGAAATATTAGCATCGGGAATTTTCTTGGCTAAGTTAGAACCAATATTATTGAAATAATCACGAAAATGATTAGCAATTTTGACTGGATGTGATATGCCTGTATCATATTTAAATAAAAAATTGGTGGAAGTTTTCTAGAACCTTTATTCTTCCTAATAACTTCATTTATTAATTTCCAAGATGTTTTAATGTTACTTTTGAAATAATCAAATTGTTTATCATAAATCGAAATAGTGCTAGGCTGCTTTCGTTTAATCCATAAGCTTTCAATTTGCTTGCCAAATTGAAAGCTTATGGATTAAACGAAAGCAGCCTAGCACTATTTCGATCATATTTTAAGGACAGAAAGAACAGAGTGAGATTAAAGGAAGCGACTAGTGCCTGGGAAGTTAGTTACGAGTGGATGTCCGCAAGGCTCAAACTTTGGACCGTGTTGTGGAACATTTTCCAAAATGACTTAAGCTATAACATTGAATCAGAGCTACACATGTATGCAGATGATAATCAATTCTATGAAAGTATGGATTAATTTAGAAAATGTTAGATTAAAACTGAAAGAAAGTGCAGTTTTGGCTTCGGACTGGTGCAGAGAAAACCTTTTAGAGCGTAACTTTGGTAAATACCGAATAATGACACTTCGGGGGGGGGAAGGAGAAAGCATTGAGGTTGAAATAAATGGGATCAAGATTGAATCAAGTGACTGTATTATATTGTTTGGAGTAGATATTGACAATAGACTAAAGTTTAATGAATAATGAACATGTTAGTAACGTATGTACGAAAGCCAGCCAGCGAGTAGAAGTCCTCATGAGAATGAAGAACATGATACCATGCAACAAGAGCGAAGTTGCAGTTATATAAAGCTGCTATTTTACCATATCTCACTTATTGTCACACTGTCTGGCATTTTTGCCGTGCTAGTGACAAAAGGAAATTAGAACGGGTTCAAGAAAGAGCATTAAGGGCAGTGTTTAATGATAAAGTGGCTGGTTATGGAGAGCTACTGAGTAAAGCTAATCTACCAAGCCTGCAAAATAGGAGATTGCAGGATATAGCAATCCTAGTGTACAAGGCAAAACACAATCTTTGCCCACAACATATATCAGACCTCTTCACTAGTAAAAATACTCGTTTTAAGTTGAGAAATGCAGACATATTTTTTTCAAGATTCAACACTGTAACGTATGGGAAGCACTCGCTAAGATACCTCGTCCTCGATGCTAAACTATATGGAGTAAGTTAGATGCAGGGGTAAAATGCTGTGCAATATTAGAAATTTTTAAGTAAAAAATTAGAAAAATTAATATAGATTTACTTATGACTGAAAACTGTCGCAATTGTCCACTATGCAGCAATTAGTAATTGGAAAGTATTGCATGTTCTAATATTTATATGTAGGTAATTAAATCTTAGACTATGTATTTAACATATATAATAGTAATATATCTGTAAATAGCTAAATAGTGTCCCCAATTAGTAAACTTATGTCGGCTATATGTATTCTTGACACTGCCACTGAAATAAAGTTTATGTAATTTAAAAATGAAAATGAAAGCCCAGCAAATGACTTTCAGACAAGACATAATAAAATATAAAATTTATTGGCTAACGTTTCGTTGTATTGTTCACAACATCCTCAGAGCAATTAAATTTATTTACAAGCGTGTATTATACTAATGCCTCAATTCGGTTAGTTAATATTTAAGAGAGCTATATATGAGACAGTAAAGCACACACAATGTTGTGGGAGAAGGGTTGTTGGGGAGAAATGCTCCGAATATATACTTTCAACTGGTCAAAGTGTCACCCCACAGACTCACAGTTACTCTAATTAATGCCCTCGGGGGTCTGGGTCCCCATATTGGGCTCTGCCTCCTCCGCAGGCCCTCGTTGTGTCATGGGAAGGTCACGATTTCGAGAGGGCCTGCGGAATCTTGTAAAATGAACAAATGTTGTTTTGAACCTGCTTCGTTAAAGAAGGCAGTTTTATTCGTGCAACGTTGGTGTGGACAACAAACCTTATCGTTAAAAAATGCTTCCTTCCACGTCCTAAGAGTCGCCAGTTTAATTTACAAGTTTAACGCCGCTTTTTTATATCCTGTTTATATTCAAGATATGTAGAAATTTACTTGCTGACGTGACGCCGGCGCCATTTTTTTTACAAGATTCCGCAGGGCCTCGCCAGATCGTGACCTTCCCATGACGCAACGAGGGCCTGCGGAGGAGGCAGTATTGGGCTGTCCTCAGGGGGTCTGGGTCCCCATGTTGGACTCTAGTGTAATTAATGCCCTCAGGGGGTTTTGGTCCCCATGTTGGGCAATCCTCAGGGGGTTTGGGTCCCCATGTTGGACTCTAGTGTAATTACTGCCCTCAGGGGGTTTGGGTCCCCATGTTGGGCGGTCCTCAGGGGGTTTGGGTCCCCATGTTGGGCGGTCCTCAGGGGGTTTGGGTCCCCATGTTGGACTCTAATGCAATTAATGCCCTCAGGGGGTCTGGGTCCCCATGTTGGGCATGATATACTTCAATCTAACATTTTTAATGTATGGTACATCGATTTGTGAGTCTATGGGATGAGGGTGACCTATGGGAGCACTCCATCCCCACAAATGAGCAGCATGCACATTCCCCATAGACGAACTCCCTCCCCCTGAAATTTTTTGAGATAAATTTTAAATATTGGCGAGTGTGGCTGAGATATTCAACAGTGTTGACGAAGGAAGTTGTACATATCGTTCATAACAGTCTGAGGACCACCGACCCAAAGTTTTTATGAGCCAGGAAGGTAACTTCGCTGTGGCTGCCGTAGTTGCAGCACCGATTCTGTAGCTATGACCGGCAAAGTTTGAAGCGTTGAATCCGGCATGACTGAGCAATGTTCTTGTTTCAAGTGTTAGGGCCTGTTTTGTAAGTGGTTTACCCGCAGAATTTACAAACAGAGGCCCTGATTTTGGCTGCTTTCTGGCTAAATAGTGTTTCATGGCCAACACTGGGCAGAGAGGTGTGTGTGTTCCTCCAATACTTATGGTATGTCCCACCCAAAAGGGGTCAGTTTTGGATTCTTTTATCCGTATGGACATAGCAGTGGTTGGTTGTAGGTCGTTGGAAAAAACAACGTCTTCAGGCATGAGGTGCGAATCTGAATTGAATTTTGAGTTACAAGTTAACTCTCCAAGCCGCAGAAAGCCAAAAAATGCCAATGTTATGGCAGCCCAAACCATAATTGAGTCGAAATGTGTTGTGACAGGTATTGCCAGCATCATGTGAAAAAGTTTTAAATGACGGATTGTTATTGGAAGGCGCACTCTTTTCTCATCGCCTTGGGAACGTTTTATATCCCGAAGAACCAGCTGGAGACGTGACATCTTTTGAGAATCCAATGGAAAACCATTTCGTATGTGAAAATGACGATCCGCTGCAAGATAGTTTTTTTATAGATGTGTGTTTGATGGTTTTGGCTAAATAGGCTAAAAATTGCACGAGTGTTTCTTCACTTGCTGGTAGGTGCTTTCCTTCATGGGGTCGATATAATTTTACAAAAGCAATAAACCGTTTCTCACCAGCACTGTATGTCTGTTTGGTTGAGGCGGCCACAGACAAATCAATGTAATATTATATGTCATTCTTTAGATTTTCAACAAAAGGACTGGAATTTTTTGAGGGTTGACATCTGCTTGAGGCATTAGGAGTCGAAACCTTTGAAACTGGAAACGAGAAAGGGAATCAGCAATCTCATTATACTTTCCCGGTATGTGCTTGGCCCGAAGGTATATATTGTACTTTAAGGTCAACAGTGTGAGATGACGGAGAAGATCCATTACCCGGGAAATTCGTGATCGTTTGGAATTAATAATGTTGACAACTGATTCATTATCACAGTTCAGGATTATCCGTTTGTTTTGAAGGGCTTCCCCCCATATGTGACATGCAACTACTATGGCAAACAATTCTTGCCAAGCAATACTAATCTCGGGCTGTCCTAATTGTTGATGGGGTTCTCATTTTCCTTGAAATCATTTCCCCCCGAAAATCCCCCCGTAGCCCAACACCCCCGATGCATCAGTGTGGAGCTGAAGGCATTCAGAGTTTTCCCATGCAGAAGACAAGAAAAAACTGGCACCATTCCAGTTAACGATAAACGTACTGTTTCCACATCTCAAGATCCTTAAAAAAGCCTGCACTAAGCTTTATGTGGTGGTGGGGCTGTCTTATGTTTCTTGTCAATTCAATCATTCTTTGTAAATAAGGGCGACCCGGTGGGATAACCTTGCATGCAAAATTTAAGGTACCTATAAGTGACTGAAGTTCTTTCAAAGTACATGACCGCCTTTTTTGGAATGTGTTGAAAACTGCTCGGAGGCGTTCAATTTTGTCATCCGGCAGCCGTGCTTCCATTCGAACGCTGTCCAGGATAATGCCCATAAACTCTAACACAGTTGCAGGACCTTGTGTCTTGCCCGGGGCTAATGGGATGTTAAGGTTCTTAAATGTAAGCATCATGGCAGTTAGACTTTGTTGGCAAGTGCTATAGTGTGGGGGCAGTTGGGATGGTGGCTCCATGATAAGAAAATCATCCAAAATATGACATGCAAATGAAATCATGCACTTATTTTGTAAGATCCATTCAATAGCATCAGAAAGTTGGTTGAACAGATATGGAGCACTTCGTAGGCCGAAAGGTAAAACTTTGTCATAATAGTATTTCCCCTCCCAATACATACCGAGAAGCTCATAGTCGTCCGGGTGCACAGGAATGAGACGAAAGGCGGATTCAATGTCAGTTTTAGCCAGAAAACAGCCGCGGCCGAAACGCTTAATGCCTTCAATCGCATTGTCAATTGTCACATAATGGAGACTAAAATCTTCCTTTGGAATTGATGCATTAATACTTGTTGCACCTGATTTTGGAAAAGAAAGATGGAAAATTGTTCGAAATTTTGTCGAATTCTTTTTTGGTACCAGGCCAATAGGAGAGACTTGGAAATTAGAAAAAGGTGGGGTCTTGAACGGACCAGCCACACGGCCAAGGAAGATCTCATGTTCCAAATTTGATGTTACAATATTTGGATGGGTAAGGGCAGTGGGCAAATTTTTTGAAAATCTAGGTGCTTTTGCCCTTCAAAACCTATTCGGGCTCCATCCTTTAAATTTGAACATAATTGTGAAACAAGCGTTGGGTCGGGATGTCCCGCTAGAGAATCTTCTAAATTAGCTACAAAAATAGGTGTTAGTGATCTAACTACATTACTATCGTTTGTCTTGGTTGGAATGGCGCTGGCTGCTGGATGAATGGACCTTTCCTTGTTTTCTATATGGTTGGAGACTTTCGTTCTCTGTACAGTAAAGACCGGCATGTTCCCCGTCACAGCGATTGCAGATATGTCGGTACCTGCACTGCGCTCGTTTGCAAGCGCTGCTCCTATTGAAATCTCGGCAAATGCCCCCTTGTTCGGTCCCCGGGGTGGCGTAGTGTTGGGG